ACAATCGGATGGAGTTCCTGGGTCCTGGGTCCTGGCTCTGGCCTGGCCCATCCCGGGCTGTTGCAGCCATTTGAGGAGTGAACCAGTGGATGGAAGATCTCTCTCTGTTTCTCTCCTTCTCTCTGTCACTCTGTTTTTTTTGTTTGTTTGTTTGTTTGTTTGTTGGTTTTGACAGGCAGAGTGGACAATGAGAGAGAGAGAGACAGATAGAAAGGTCTTCCTTTTTGCCATTGGTTCACCCTCCAATGGCCGCCGCAGCCAGCGCGCTACGACCGGTGCACCGCGCTGATCCGAAGGCAGGAGCCAGGTGCTTCTCCTGGTCTCCCATGGGGTGCAGGGCCCAAGTACTTGGGCCATCCTCCACTGCACTCCCAGGCCACAGCAGAGAGCTGGCCTGGAAGAGGGGCAACCGGGACAGAATCTGGGGCCCCGACCGGGACTAGAACCCCGTGTGCCGGCGCCGCTAAACGGAGGATTAGCCTGTTGAGCCACGGTGGTGGCCCACTCTGCTTTTTGAATAAACAAAATTACTCTTAAAAATTATTTGTGGGACCAGTGCTGCGGTGCAGTGGGTTATAGCCCTGGCCTGAAGCGCCAGCATCCCATATGGGCATCGGTTCTGGTCCTGGCTGCTCCTCTTCTGATCCAGCTCTCTGCTGTGGCCTGGGAAAGCAGTGGAGGATGGCCCAAGTCCTTGGGCCCCTGCACCAGCATGGGTGACCCAGAAGAAGCTCCTGGCTCCTGGCTCCGGATCGGAACAGCTCCAGCTGTTGCAGCCATCTGGGGAGTGAACCAATGGAAGGAAGACCTCTCTCTCTGCCTCTACCTCTCTCTGTAACTCTGTCTTTCAAATAAATAAAATAAATCTTTAAAAAAATTATTTGTACACAGGAAGACAATGAACAATCTCGGGTAGGTTATGCAAAACCATCAGCAGTAGGGCTGGCACTGTGGCAAAGCAGGCTAAGCCTCCACCTGCAGTGCAGGCATCCCATATGGGGCGCTGGTTTGAGTCCCAGCTGCTCTACTTCCAATCCAGCTCCCTACTAATGGCCTAGGAAAACCATGGAGGGTGGCCCAAATGCTTGGGCCCCAAATGCTTGGCCATCTTCCACTGCTTTCCTAGGCACATGGCAGGGAGCTGGGTGGGAAGTGGAGCAGCTGGGACATGAACTGGCGCTCCTGTGTAGGATACCGCACCACAATGCCAGGCCCGTGTGCACAGATCTTCTCCTACAGCTGTGTGTGGGGGTCTTCATGCAGGAGACCTGGAAGAAGCTCCTGGCTTCATCCTGGCATAGCCCTGGCCGTTGAGGCCATTTAGGAGTGAACCAGTGGTTGGAAGATCTCTGTTGCTCTCTGTAACTCTGCCTTTCAAATAAATAAGTAAATCTTAAAAACAAACAGTAATGAAAAGGCCCGGACCGGGTAGAATTAGACATGGGTTCAAATCCTGCCTTGGCCACTCACCAGCTTTTTTTGTTTGTTTGTTTGTTTGTTTGTTTTTTGGCTTTGAAGGGCAGAGAGCAGGCTTCCTTCCACTGGTTCACTCCCCAAATGGCTGCATCAGAAGTGGAGCAGCCAGGACTCAAACTGCACCCATATGGGATTCCGGTATCGTAGGCAGCTGCTTTACCCTCTGTGCACGACCCCAAGCGCTCCAGGCCTCCTCAGCTGTCAGACAGGCATGCTAGTAACCCTCTTTGTAGGGCCGTCTGAAGCCCGGGCAGCAGCGGGCGGGCCCAGACGTGGGCGCTATGGTCGGCCTGGCAGCAAATGTGGGTGGCGTGGTCCGGCTGGTCCCTCTCACTGTGTGGCTGGGCTGGCCGTGGTCCGGCTGGTCCCTCTCACTGTGTGGCTGGGCTGGCCGTGGTCCGGCTGGTGCCTCTCACTGTGTGGGTGGGCTGGCCGTGGTCCGGCTGGTGCCTCTCACTGTGTGGGTGGGCTGGCCGTGGTCCGGCTGGTCCCTCTCACTGTGTGGGTGGGCTGGCCGTGACTGACGCTGCTGCCCCTCTAGGGCACTCACCTATGACCCAAGGGGCTCGAGATATACCTAAGCCTAAAGAACTCAGGGCCAGTGGCCGCGCTGGCGTATCCGGGGACAGGTGGAAGCCAGCAGCAGGTAACGGAGGATTCCCGGGCTGCACTGGGGACAGCCCCGGGATCCCCGGGGCTTCTGAAAGGCAGCCTCTGTGATACCTTTGGGTGTCGGGCTCAGGAGTAGGCAGGGCTTCTCGGATCGCCCAACCTGCTTCCTGGCTGACTTCTCCTGGGGGTGTCGGCTCCGTGCCCCGAGGCGACACACTGGAGGGAGGGACGAGGCACTCTTGTGTTCCGCGGGCCCTCAGGATGTGACTCCCTAGCTCAGAAGCTCAGCCCAGAGAATGCTTCGGGGAGTTAAAAACCGGTTGCTGTGGCTGGGGTACCGTCGGTCCTTGCTTGTGCTTACCCAGTTCCCGCAGGCAGCTGGTTTCCCCCACAGGGGCCATGGGCCCATTGCTCCCTCCGTGTGTGCACAGGGCAGGGTGACCGCCATCCTCTGCGGGAGGGCAGGGGCAGGACACCAGTGCCATGCAAAGGCCCCCTGGTCAGGTCGGCGAGCACCATGGCCGGTGCCCCTGGAGCCCGGGCAGTGCCTCCAGTCCCCACCCCTGCCCAGGAGAAGCCACGGCCCCGGCTTCTGAACCCAGAGGTGGGCTACACTGGGCCTGAACCTCCCCCGTGTTTGTTACCCGTGTGAGGACGCTCGCGCCATTGCCTCGGGAGTGGTTCATTTATTCTCAGGGCTTCACGGTCTCCGTGGGCACTGTGGGCATCCATGGCTCTTGGTTGTGCATGTATGCTTCTGGGGGGGGGGGAGCAGCCTCTTCCCACTGGAGAGAGAGGAGCACAGTCGCCCAACCTGCAGCCACAAAACTGTGCAGGCGTGGCCGTGGGTCTCCCCCCACCGGGGACAGAACTGCCTGTGGTTGGAGAGCACCATGAGTCTGAATATGACAGCTCTTCTCCACCTGTCATGGCTGTTTCCAGTTCTGGGCTGACTTGAGTGAGCTGCTGCGAGCATTCTTGGGGTGTTTCTGGGTGGACGTTGGCATCATCTCGAGGGAATGGTTGTGTTACAGGCAAGGCAGGTGTTCGGCTCCCATAGGCACTGCCACCTCCTCACAGTGGTTGTGTCCGGTCACACCCCCACACATTCATGAATCTTCCAGTCACTCCGCGTCCTCACCAACAGCAAGAGCTCTGACTTCGGGCTTCCCAGAGACCGAGCACCGTGACACCAGGCTCTCGGTCGTTTGCACTTCCTCTTAATGAAATGCCTGTTCAAGTCTTTCGCTCATTTCCTATAAGACTGTGTACCTTTTTCTTACTGATTTGTAGCAGCTCTTTATATAGGATAGGTACAAGTCATTTGTCAGATACACGTTTTGCAAATACCTTCTCTCTCCTTGTGGATTCACAGATTTTTAGAGCTAGGGGCACTCCGTACTTCCGTCATCACACCCCCAGTTCACTTGACTGTCTCCTTGACTGTCCTTTTTGCAAGATAACAGATCTTATGAAGGGCAGGGCCTATGTCTGCTTCATTTACCTTAGAACTGCGTGGTGCAGCGTAGGTACAAAGTAAATAGTTGTGAAATGCAAACGGGAGCACAACTCTCAGGGGACAATCTTTGCAATTGAAGGCTCTGGCAGTCACTGATTCAAAAGCCCAGAGACCGAGGTGCCTGCCCACTCCCTCCCCCCCGCAGCCTGAGGGTGGCAGCCAGCTCCCGAGTCTGTCTGTCCGTCCGCTGCCAGCTGGGTGTCTGCCCAGCTGCACCTGCCCTGAACAAGGCTCGCCCGGCAGTCACCAGAGAGGCCGGATCATTGTCATGAACAAATGAGGCCAGACTCTGTGCAGCCCAGAGTGAGTGGCGTGGCAGGAATGCGAAGCAAGCATCCAGCACAGGCCCCGGGCCCTGCTCCAAGCCTGGGGTTAGCGATGGGAATGGAGAGGAAGAGACACTCGGCTGCTGTGAGACAGGAAGCAGGACAGTCTCCCAGCAGGTCGCAGGGGCTGCACGTGTGTGTTCCCCAGAAGGCACGTGGTGAGGGGCTGGGGTTAAGCCACTGCCTTGTGAGTGCCAGTTTGAGTCCTGGCTGCTCCATTTCCCATCCACGTCTCTGCCAATGCTCTCTGGAAGGCAGCAGAAGATGGCCCAAGAGCTTGGGCCCCTGTACCCACGTGGGAGACCCAGATGGAGGTCTGGCCCAGCCCTGGCTGTTGTGGCCATTTGGGGAGTGAACACAGTGAATGTGTTTTCCCAGGCGCATTAGCAGGGACCTGGATCAGAAGTGGAGCAGCCAGGACTCAAGCTGGCACCCATATGGGATGCCGGTGCTGCAGGTGGAGGCTTAACCAGCTGTGCCACAGCGCTGGCTGACTTGGTGAGCTGCTTTCTGAGGCAAGGCTCTGGACGGGGGGACCAAGAGCTCCAGCCCACAGGCCACTCCCACATGGTGTCCTGCCCCATCCCTTAGGAGCTGCAGCCATATGTCTGCTGCTCAAAGTCTCAGTTTTCCACATCTGCAGAATGGGAGGTTCATGTGGGGGGTAATTTGCTCACACAGACCCCTTCTGGGGAGGCAAGGAGGGATTTCCCAGAGACCCAGAGGGCGGGAGCAGGTGCCCAGCCGACAAGGGGTGACAGTCGGTGCTGTCACCAGGTCTCCGCCCTGCAGGGGCGAATCAGTGTCCCCCTGGGCTCCAGAGACCACGGTTGGAGCTGGCTGTGGCAGGAAGCAAGTCAGGTGGGAAAGACGCCTCCTCCCCGACGATGCTTCCAGCTCAAGCCAGGCAGGGCTCTGCTCGGCGCTCAGCCCGTTCCTTCCATGATGCCGCCTGGTTCTCCTGGCCCAGCCGTCCTCAAGCACAGGGCCTGGCGCAAAGGAGGCGGGGGCGCCTCCCTGCTGGCTGGGAGCCGTGGGCCTCAGCTCTGCCTTTGTCCTCCCCGCAGGCTGAGCTGGGCAAGCCCCGGGAAAGAAGCTGCAGTCTGCCCGGCGTCAATTTCAACTATGGGCTCTACGTCCGGGGCCTGGACGGCGGGGTGCCGGAAGGTGAGCGAGCGAGCTCGGAGCTCGAGGGGGCTGAGGCGTGCATGGGAGGCTGTCGGGGGGCCAGAGAAGACCCCTGGGTGGAAGCCACCAGCCGGGTCAGCTGACTGTAAAACCCTAGGCTCGGCCACAGCAGGGAACTCAGCAGGGTGGGTGGGCTGGCTAGACTGTGCCATCCAGCCAGGATCAGAGGAGGCCCCGCTCGCCCAGAGCGTGTCAAAAGCCAGGGGACCCTGGCCCCATGGAAGGTTCCCCAGGCAGCCTCTGGAATTCCTGGGAACCCCAGTTCTGCCCTCCAGGCCACAGAACTTTGCAGGGGCTGGGCAGGGCTGCTCCCCCACACCCCATTGCAGGCTGCAGGTTTGGGGAGCCCTGTGTCTTCCCAGTCATGCCGTGGGGGACTTCCCTCCCAGGCTGCCCACGGCCCCAGTTCTGTCTCCTCTTCCCTCAGCCATCGGCCACTGGGATGTGTTTAAGCAGCAGCCCACCTGCCCCCACGAGCTGACCCGCAACTACGTGGCCATGAACCGCGGGGCGGTGAAGGCCGGCCTGGTGACCGCCCGCGAGAACTTCCTGTACCGGCAGCTCAACGACATCCGCATCAGCGACCAGGACGACCGGCGCCTGAAGAAGGAGCCGCCCTCCCTGCCTCCGAACATGACATTCGGGATCCGGGCACGGTAAGGCACAGGTGGGCGGGGGATGAGGTGGAGACAGTGCCCTGCTGGCCGCACCCCGGGGCTGCGCACTGGCCACCACTTCCTGTCATCTCTAAGCATTTGCGGGGACTCCTCTGTGTCCTCGGCACCTGTGCTGTCCCGGGTACGGAAGGCCAGCGCTTGCCCGGTGACTCTGCAGCCGGGGCTGACCCGGCCTCTGGCACAGCTTCTGCATCCGTAGAGTGGGGACAATGACGGGACCTGCTTCACGGTGGTGCCGAGATCTCAGTGACGTGGTGCACACAAAAGCCACAGCACAGGGCTTGGGACATAGGCAGTGACTGATGCGTGTTAACATTTTTTAAAGTTTATTATTATTATTATTGAGGTTTAATACATGGTAAAGTGTACAAACTGTGAAATGTTCAGGCTTCTCGTGAAATTTTGCAATCGTAAACACTTGTGTGACTGCCGATCTGATAACGCCTCGGAAGACGGAGGTACTTCCCGGAGTTCACACGCTGGGGTGGGCGCGGGCGCTGTGGATAAGGTTCCCTTGGGATCACCTACCCCATCTGAAAGGTTCCGGTTCCAGTCCCCACTCCTCACTCCTCCCACCCAGCTCCCTGCTGACGCATCCTGGGAGGCAGCAGGTGGTGGCCCAGTCCCTGGGTCCCCGTCCCTCACCGGGAGGCCCAGCTGGAGCCCCTGGCTCTGGCCTTCAGCCTGGCCTAGCACAGACTCGCAGACAGCTGGGGGCGAACCAGCAGATGAAGGAGTGTGTGTGTCTCTGTCCCTTTCACTCTGCCTCGCAAATAAATACATAAATAATTTTTTTAAAAAAGATGTTTATTTTGGAGCCAAAAATATTGAAGTGCATACACCCAAGGAGTTTTCAAAAAGTTCAGGGAAAATGCATGTTATGCAAAGACTATGCATTGATTTCAACATTTTTTGGCACCAAAATAAATGTATCTTCTTTTTGTTTTTCTTTTTTTTTCTTTTTCTTTTTTTTTCTTTTTTCTTTTTTGACAGGCAGAGTTAGACAGTGAGAGAGAGAGAGACGGAGAGAAAGGTCTTCCTTTTCCGTTGGTTCACCCCCCAAATGGCCACTACAGCCGGTGCTACGCCAATCCGAAGCCAGGAGCCAGGTGCCTCTCCTGGTCTCCCATGGGGTGCAGGGCCCAAGCACTTGGGCCATCCTCCACTGCTCTCCCGGGCCACAGCAGAGAGCTGGCCTGGAAGAGGAGCAACCGGTACAGAATCTGACGCCCCAACCGGGACTAGAACCTGGGGTGCCGGCGCCACAAGGTGGAGGATTAGCCTAGTGAGCCAAGGCACCGGGTGCCTCTTTTTGTTTTTCACAAGCAGCGAATATATTGTTTATTGAGGGCTGGCACTGTGGCATAGAAGCTTAAGCCTCCGCCTGCAGTGCCAGCATCCCATCTGGGTGCCGGTTCAAGTCCCAGCTGCTCCACTTCTCATCCAGCTCCCTGATAATGGTTGGGAAAGCAGTGGAAGCTGCCCCAGATGCTTGGCCCTTGAGCCCACGTGGGAGACCCGGAAGAGTCTCCTGGCTCCTGGCTTCAGCCTGACCCAGTCCTGACTTTTGGAAGATCTCTCTCTCTCTCTCTCTCTCTCTCTCTTTCTTTCAAATAAATAAAATAAATCTTAAAAAAAAAAAAAAAAAGCAGATGTATGCAGGAGCTTGGAACTCAGTGTAGTGGAGAGAGTGTACGTTCACCAACCAAACTGCGTTGGGAACTGAGGCAAAAACTCAAACCCCACTTCTTAATTGCCTGGGTGCCTTTCTGTGAACATTTTTTAAAGATTTCTTTTATTTATTTGAAAGCAGAGTTGCAGGGAGAGTGAGACAGAGAGAGGTCTCCATCTGCTGGTTCTCTCCCCAGATGGCCGCAATGGCCGGGGCTGGGCCAAGCAGAAGGCAGAAGCCAGGAAGTCCATCCAGGTCTCCCGAGTGGGTGCAGGGGCCCAAGCACTTGGGCCATCCTCTGCTGTTTTCCCAGGTGCATTAGCAGGGAGCTGGATCAGAAGTGGAGCAGCCGGGACTCAAACCAGTGCCCGTGTGGGATGATGGCATTGGGGGCGGTGGTTTAACCAGCCACACCACAGCTCCGGCTCCTCCATAAACTTTTGCATGTGCCTTTGTCTGCCTGGCACCCAGAGGGCTCCTGTTCTGAGTGGTCCTGGCTTTCAGCCACCACAGGGGGCATAGGTCTGTGTCTCCCCCGCCGACCTCCATGCCGTGAGCCTAGCAGGGCGGACACGAGGAGCCCAGGCCCGGGCGGTTGGTTACTGCTGCTGCAGCCCCACAGCTCCTCAAACTGGCAGGGCAGGGCAGCACCGGCACGGACTCGGAGAGCTGTGTTCCCCCGTCCATGCCCCAGGTCCTCCTGCCTGAGTCTCTGCCCGGACCCGCTAACCACTCTCCCTCTTCCAGAACTGGCACCAGCCATGCCACTAGCGGATTCACATCCCTGATGCCCAGGTTAAGTCAGATGGACCCCAGCCGACAGCTGTGCAGTTAGGGACATGCTCCCGTGGCCTGCCCCACGCAGGGCGCCCTCCTCCTGGAGGCCAACACGTGACCCAGGCCGGGCCATCCTGAGTCAGGCCTGGCACCCGTGTCCCACCCCCGGCGTGCGTGACGAATGTGACTGCCTGCTCTCAAAAGCCGTCTCCAGCTGCCCAAACATTTCTAGAGGGGAATTCACTGGCTCACCTGTTGGAAAAACCCAAGGGAGAGCTTCAGGCACAGCTGGGTCCAGGCAGCCGGTGATGTCCTCGGCATCTCCAGGTCTCGGCTGTGCGTGCCGGCGTGGGCTTCGTTCTCTCACAAGCTTCTTCCTCGTCTGGCAGAATGGCCGAAGCCGTTGCCTCCTAATTCTCTCTGTGACTCAAGGGACTGCAAATGCCCTCCCTGTGAGATCCTTTGGTCCAGCTGGGGGTCAAGTCCCTGCGCCTGACCAACCCCTGTGGCTAAGGTTTGTGAAATACACTGACTGGCCAGGCCTGGGTCACACGTCTGCCTCTGAGCCAAGTGCTGAGGCCAGGGGAATCTACGCCACCTGATTGGCCAGGCCCGAGTCTGGCTCCTCCCCGAAGTCAGGGGTGAAATCAACCCCCACGGTTCACAGGGGCTGCTGGCGGTCGGGATGCACGCAGAGACCCTGGTTCTGTTCCCAGGAGGGTCCTGATACTGCATGCCAGCAGGGAGAAACAGCAAAAGCCACGGCGACAGGGCTTCCTGACCTGCCACGTCACAGCACAAACTGATCATTGTAAAAGTGACCTTGAGTGCCCTCCGGCGGCTCAGCCATCGGTGTGGCTGCTCTGCCCTCCTCCAGAGCCACATGGAGCCCACGTGTGTGTGAGTGACCTGTCCTCCAACGCCCCTGTGCCTGGACCCGCCCCGTGCCTGGACCCACCCCATGCCTGGACCCGCCCCATACCTGGACCCTCCCCCGTGCCTGGACCCTCCCCATGCCTGGACCCTCCCCCATGTCTGGACCCGCCTCATGCCTGGACCCGCCCCTGTGCCTGGACCCGCCCCATGCCTGGACCCGCCCCTGTGCCTGGACCCTCCCCCGTGTCTGGACCCTCCCTGTACCTGGACCCGCCCCATGCCTGGACCCTCCCCCGTGTCTGGACCCTCCCCGTGCCTGGACCCTCCCCGTGTCTGGACCCGCCCCTGTGCCTGGACCCGCCCCATGCCTGGACCCTCCCCATACCTGGACCCGCCCCTGTGCCTGGACCCACCCCTGTGCCTGGACCCTCCCCATGCCTGGACCCTCCCCATACCTGGACCCTCCCCTGTGTCTAGACCCTCCCCATGCCTGGACCCTCCCCCGTGTCCGGGCCCTCCCCTGTGCCTGGACCCGCCCCTGTGCCCAGGCGGGGACCTTCCTTTGAATCTTCCACCACACTGTTTTTTTCTGTCGTTCCTTCTTTATTATTTTTTCCCAATGTTTCTATTGTGATAAGATGCACATAGCATAGCCTTTTTTTAAAAAATATTTTATTTATTTATCTGAGAGGTAGAGTTACAAACAGTGAGAGGGAGAGACAGAGAGAAAGGTCTTCCTTCCGCTGGTTCACTCCCCAGATAGCCGCAGTGGCCGGAGCTGGGCTGATCAGCAGGAGCCAGGAGCTTCTTCCCAGTCTCCCACGTAGGTGCAGGCGCCCAAGGACTTGGGCCATCTTCTACTGCTTTCCCGGGCCATAGCAGAGAGCTGGATTGGAAGCGGAGCAGCTGGGACTTGAACCAGCGCCCATATGGGATGCCGGCGCCACAGGTGGAGGATTAACCTACTGCACCACAGCGGTGGCCCCAATAGTGTAGCCTTTACCACCTGAACCGTGTTAAGGACACGTTGCCTGCAGCCGTCACCACCACCCACCTCCCAGCTTCCTTCTCTTCCCAGTTAACAGGGACTCCCCGCTGCCCGCCTCGGCTCTTGATAGCCAGCATCTACACTGTGTTTCTACGAATTTGATGCTTCCAGAAACCTTTTAGAGAGGGAATCCTACAGTTGCCCTGTTGTCTCAGCTCATTTTTTTTTTAACCATGATGTCCTCCAGGTACATGCGTGTGGGAGCGTATGTCAGCAGTTTGTGCCTGTTCAGGTCTGAGTACTATCCCACTGCAGGCACACCACAGTGCGTCTCCCCACTCATCCCTCATGGGTCGTTGCGTGGTCCCCACATTTCAGTTGTCCACGATGCTGCTATGAACTTGAACTTGGGCATACAACTCTCTGTCCCAGTCCTTGCTTTGGGGCTGTACCCCGATGTGGGCACTTCCAGACCACGTGGCAGTCATGGGTCTCATTTACTGGGGATGGGGCCCCCATGCTCCTGTAGGCTTTCGTCTCTGCCTTTTCTCACCGCCCTGCCTGGGAAAGCCTGCTCACTCTCCAGAGTGCAGCTCAGTGTCCTCCCCGTGGCCAGCCCCTCCCCCCAATAGACACAAAGCATCCCCCTGCCACCAGAGTTGCGTT